TCGCCCCGACGGAGTCGATCCCGGCCGACATGAGCGGTACGTCGAGTGAAGTGGCGGTGCCGGTGAGCTGGGTCACGCTGCCAACGAGATCGTCGAGGAGGCTTTGGCATCGGACGGAAGAACGCGCTTGAACGGGCCTCGGTTGTCGTGGTGGGGGACAAACTGATGGCGCCTTGGATAGTGCTCGGTTATCTAGTCAAGTCAGAGATGCACGCGCCAATGCAATCGGGCAGGTGTACAAGATAGGACGAGAGGCGAAGTTTTCGATACGCAACAGTCCCCCGTGACCTATTTCGGAATGCGAGCCATGTTCGCGAGAGACGAGATGACGCACACCCCTGTCAGCAGGGTCGACAGTTGCGAAGTCACGTGCGAGTATCCAGGACCGGCATCCTCTTCCTGATTTCTTCCTAGCTAGGTTTCAGACTCCTGGTCGCTGCGCGTCACGCTCGGCAATCCTACCAGTCCCAAAGCACTCTCGCGTGAGAGCAATCATCTCAGGTGAAATAGAAGCCACTTGGTCAGCAACCACACAATGCTGTTCGGTGAAAGATACGCATATTCGGGATGAGGCGTGTCCCCCCTTTTTCCTCATCAACGCCACCCAATCAGAGCCAAATCTGCATCACGTGACAGATCCACCAACAGCGACGTCACGGCTGCTTGCCAGACGTGTCACTAAGGCTCGAACAAGCTCTCGACCCTGCGGCTTTCAGGATGCGCGCATTCACAACGCTCAATGATTTGAAGCCTGCATGTACGGAGGGGATCCTCTCACGTTTCCCATCTCGAGACTTCCGTGTACCCGTGACATCTACCACCTCGCCTTTAGCGCAAGGATCTCGCTCAAAGATGACCGCGTTGTTGCATTCCATATTTCTCGCCGCCCCTACTCATCCCCGCTTGTTCGATCGTGAAAAATTGCAAGAGGAGAGACCTTGGAGCTTCCTAACGAGACACAGCGGCGCGTTGGCACTCCACCCGAGCCCGAGCCCGCGGTGAGATTATACCTGGTCCTCAAAAATTTCAGGACGCGCGATGCGCAATCCGTCGTGGCTTGGCTCCCGACAGACGCTCCTGACTGGCAATCTCCAACCGCGTGACTCACAACTTGCTTGATTGTCACGCTTTCTATTGGAAACGTCAATGGACAGCGCCACTTTTCGGATGTGGTGGGTCATTGTGATCCTCAGAAATTTTCACTTGCTTGCCATGAAGTGTCGGTGAAATGGGGGTCGTGAAGTGCTCGGGCAAGATGGTCGGTCTTTCTTGCACTATGGTCGTCATTTCCTTCGGGATAATTTCCCACGCAGTGATTGAAAAACGTCAAGTTGTCTTCTGTCATTGCGCTATCAATCGCAAACGCTCCAGAAATTTGGCTCCTACATCTCAAGATGGATCAGCCTAGGCCAGGCTCTGGTAGTAAGCATGGCCGTAAAAATTGGACACCAGCCAACGATTTTCGCAGCTTGAGAGACCGCAAGGCAAGGTCGACGTAGCCAATACCTGGAAGTAGGATACTTTCTCCAACTACATGATCCGCGAGATCGGCTTGCGTCGTGGATAGCAGTCAGCCTTGCATGCACTCCGCGTCCGCGCTTTGGGAAATCCCAGAGCCCTGTTGAGCAATCCATCGTTTTGCTTGCCACTCGCCAGAGACGGCTGGTCATTGAGCACAATAGAATGATGGCCGCGTAGTTGCCCCCAGGAACACTTCTTATCTCACCAGAGTCGCCGAAGCCACATCACTTCTTGAAGTCTTAGAAACGAAACCCCCATGAGCAATTGTCCCCGTTGCCCCGAATGAACTCAGTCAACCCAGGGCTGCCCACGATACAGCTGCTTAATCGCAGAGTGGGATGTGGAAGGGCGTATTTCAGACAACATTGACGACGTGCGGATTCAGATTCTGTCCCTGGGTGTTTGCAGCAACACTTCGAAATGACAGGGTCAAACAAAGCAGGGCCGCCGCCCCGGCACCGCCCGCGACGGGCTCGAGATGTCCCATGTTTGCTTTCAGCGACGTGCAAGAGATCTCAATTCCCAACTTACAAAGCGCGCCCGTGACTGCGCCAACCTCAACAGGATCTCCAAGCGCAGTTCCCGTGCCATGCGCCTCTAGGCTGGCGGGGTTGCACTTGTTTTGCGTGTGAAGTCAGCTTTGAACAGCGACAATAAGCCGCCGCTGCGCAGATCCATTAGGAGCAGTCAAACTTGCGCTCGGTCCATCGTTTTGCACTCATGTCGCGTCGACCTCAAATCGAGCAACTTCATCCACAGACAACAAGATGGACACGGAGCCCTCCCCGCGACAATACCCGTCTCCCCTGACATCAAAGGTGTGACATCAACCCCGCCCAGACAGCATGCCCTGAGCAGCAAAGGCGCCCGTAAAAATAGGCCCAAGCAGCCCAACGCCGGAAGCAATCGCATCCGGGCACTCGCGAAGTATCAAGGCGGCAGATGCAAGGTGAGTAGCAACGAGTTGCGAAGAGCACGCTGTATCAAGGGAAAGACAAGGGCCCACGAGGCCGAGAATAAATGATATTTGGCCACTGGCGAAAGATATTTACGGGGCTCCTGCTACGGCGGGATCACCAGCAGCCGCCTGTTCAACAGGTCACCCAAGGATTCCTACGAACACACCGATGTCTCATTCACGACCACACGGCACCTTGCATGATTTCAGCCCAGAATCTGCTCCTTCGAGGAGCATGACAAAATGACGGTCCATACTTCATGCTTAATGTGGGGAAATGCCGAACGTCTGATACTCCAAACGGAGATCACCAAGAAGGAAGGATCCGTAGCTTGCTGCCGTGCCTCGAGAAGTCATGGCCCATCTTCATGAGGGAATGTATGATGGGGTCGCTAGGGCTCAAAACAAAAGCTGACGTATCGAAAATAAGGTTGCAATGCCACCACCAAGTCGAATCTGGTATGCACTAAGGTAAACATTGTGCGGCTTGGAAAGCGTCGATCAGCTGACGTGGAGTGTGATCGTTCACACAGGGGGGGAAATTTCTTGCATTGCCCTTGTCGGGCTAATTTCTTGCGTTTTTGTTCCCAACGGTACAGGAGGATCTGTTCTGGGAGATGACTTCTCTGCCCAGTTAGAGGAAGTGATAATTAGCACGACTTTCCCTTTCGCTTCACGGCTGAGAATCTTAGATAGACCCGCGTGAAACTAGTCCATGGGCAATACTGTGTCCACCGCTGGGACAAGCAGACCAGCCTGCCACAGTCTCACAACCTCTGCCGCCGCATGTTCGTTGTCACTAGGATAGTGGACTGCATATGTCCACACTCCTACAATCGCAATATTACGCTGGAGCAAGTGCTCCAACGAGATCGTAGGAATAGTGCCTGATGCATACCCTATGGTCAATAAAGAGCCTCCGACCCCGATGCATCAGACACACGCATAAATGTAGTCACCTCCCACGGGATCGAACACACAATTGACACCCTCATGCGATGTGTACTCCATCACGTCTCACTGCCAGCCCCTGCGAGAATAGTCTATCGCAATGTCTGCACCACGAGAATAGCAAACATCACGTTTACTCTGCGTACTAGCACAAGCCAGAATAATGGCGCCTAAGACCTTTCCAATGTCGAGCGCGGCAACACCGGCACCCCCGGCTGCTCCCAATATGAGTAGGGTCTGGGCGAGCCAGTCTGAAATGGGTGCTCGATGAACCAGAGCAAAGTAAGCGGTCTGATAGTTACTACCGAGAGCTACAAAGTCAATGAAATCTTGTCGACTGGCATCTCTTTGTAGTTTCACACACTGACGTTCGTGAAGCAAAATCTCCTCTGCGCAGGTGCCTGTAGTCCAAGGAAGGATCACGCCAGCCGGATCATGAACTCGCAGCTTGGAAACCAAGGTGGCGGTCGCAGATATGATTCCAGCAGCTTCTGTCCCAGGGGTGACAGGTAGGGGCGCCTTGACCTAGTATTTGCCATGCAGGCTTAAATTGTCTGCCAAGGACAAACCAACAGCCGCGACCTGTAGGATAACCATACCTGCCACAATGACATGTTCGTCGTCTCTCAGATATTTTGACATAGTTTGGACAATGTCATCTGCTATATGTGGTAAGACCGGCCGTGCTACATCCATCCAATATATGGGCCCACCGTAGCTGTTAACACAAATCACTTTCATCAAGTGCTCATCTGAACGAATATATTTGTGGTCAATTTAGCTCTCTTTTACCACATTAACGGTGACCGTCTCGTATGACTGGTTCACCGTGGCCATTTCTAGTGCTCTAACATGGCCTGAACTCGAATACGCCAAAACTGAAGTTAGACCCCCAATCGAAGGATGGTCGAAGAGGAGAGTGGCTGGGAGCTCAGCGCAGAACTCGTCGCTCATGGCTCGTTACAGCTCCGTGGCACCCAGAGAGTCGATTCCCGCAGCCATTAACGCCGCATCTCGAGATACTTGAGTCCCGAGCACCGCTGCGACACAATTTGTCACTATTGCTTGCACTTGGTGAGTGTCCGCCTAGTAACAATCGCTTTCACCTACGGGCGGTGATGGCACCTGAAATGCTTGGGTCACCAAAGATGCAATTCCCGCAATCGCAGGGTGGTCGAAGAGGAGCGTGGCTGGGAGCTCGGCACTGAACTCTTCGCTCAGTGCCCGTTACAGCTCCGTGGCACCCAGAGAGTCAATTCCCGCAGCCATCAACGCCGTGTCTCCGGCTACTCGAGTGCCGAGCACCTTCGCGACGCATCAACTCACTTTTCGTGATACATCGGAATTGTGGAATTGTGGCTGTGCAACCTAGATTGAAGATGCTCGCTGGAGCACGCTTCCCTTCCTTATTGCCTCTGGATATTTCTCAGAGGAAATCATTCGATCCATGAAAGACTCAGCGAAGCATGCGACCTCTAGCGCTGCTTGCGCAGCATCGAGCACACAATCTGAAGCTACTGAGGTGGGTCAGAAAATTGAGTGGGCGCTGAACAGGGCCGGACCAGCTGTCGAGTGCTATGCTTCAGCCTTGCTGGCTGTGATCTAGTCTACAATGCCACATGCATCTGCCTGATTACCAGAGAGAACTATATCTTCCACATAGATTTGAAAACCAGTGGGGTACCCCACCGTCAATGGCAGCGCTCAGCTGAACATGAAAAGGGGATTCACTCCGCGCGGCAAGTTGCCGTAATTGAATGTCGCCCCAGTGGTACAGACGCGCCAATCTGTGGCAAGCGCAAACGCAACACCCCCTCCCACAAGCTTTCCATGAACTGCCCCAAATTTCGGCACACAGAGTCGACAAATGTCTCTGGTGACGTGCGAAGTTCTCCAGAGCAAAGAGACAGAAGTTTCTTTCTTTAGCTAGAGGCTGCCTTGCGTCATCTGCGCGAAGTTTCCGCCGGTGCAAAAATAAGCACCGGCGCCCTGAAATAGCATGGATCAGCTCTCTGCATACCAGGCTATCCTGCAAAGTGAAGTGATGCATACGGTCAGGTCCGCAATTAGGGAGTCGCTTTGGGCATTGAAGTGGACTGCGTCATTCAGTTCAATGACCGACGTTGAGGCAGTAGAAACTTCAAGGCGTACCATGCGTAAGTCGCGTGCTACTTCTACACTCGGACCTTGTGCAGTGGTGACTGTGACAGCTTCGGCTGGTGATCTGGAGTGGAGATATGACTTCAGGTGGACGGAAGCTGTAGAACCTAACATGAGGGATGTGGAAATGGCGATTTGCGCACCTGTGCCGAATATGAGGGGAATCTGCTGATACACATTGCGCCTGTTATGCTCCACAACCAGGAGATCTGATGCCGTTACTAGTGGCCCGATATCCCAAGCAGTGTCAGATACAAGAACGAGCGTCGTTGGCAATTGACAATGGCAGAAAACGTGCGCCAAAGTCCAAATACCGCAAGCGGTTTCTTGTCAACTGCGCGCGACGCACATCACGTGTTGATGGGAATTTGGCTACATCTGACGAAGAACAGTATCAACACTAGTGATGCCAAGTCCGGTCATGCGAAACTGCAGAATTTTTTGTGCGCATAGCCATGTTTAGATCCATGCGCAAAGCTATCGATTAGCTGCCTTTTCTTTGTGGTCTGAGGGGGGGGGGGGGGTACGACTCAACGGACGCTTGTTGTGTGTTTTTCGTGCGACTTTTGACAGAATCGCCAATGATAGACCGACTTGAGTATTATTTTGATCAACGCATCGAGCAAGCGAAAGCCAAAGCAAATTTCCTATGTGTGATACCTCGGCTACTGACGGCGCTCTGCTTCATTAATCAACAAAAATACGAGGCTAGTTTTTTCCAGTCAACGAATATGTTGCGAGGAAAACATGCCATTCTGTGGAGAATTGACAGGTTGACGGGTGGCACTGCTTGATATCATCGCTCGTTTCACAATATTGCTCACTCCAGTAGGTACCTACGGGTGCAGGTGCCATTTAATTGCTAGGTCGCAGTAGCGTGGTCGTGTTACAAGCTCCGATACGAGGGGCCAAGGTCACTGTGTAAGCGAGAGTGAGCGCATGAGAATATTGGCTTGAGGCGGCATGGTGAAATGACGAAATGACGCCCGTCTTTAGTAGGTCAGCACTTTCACACGCGAGCCCCAAGTGTGGAGCGTGTTCAGCAGCTTGACATTTCGACGATATCTCTCCGTGGGCTTGGGTCCCGCACGTCCTCCAGTCAGCACCAAGCATCCAATTGAACACATGCGAGCTGTATCTCTGCAAAATACCAAGTAGGGGAGCCCGGAGCTTTGTAAGAGTGTTTGAAATCAATCTTTGCGCGTCCTGGCCAGTGGCCTACCTCTTCGGTAAAATCGCTTCAGTGTGAGGATGCAAGCGTGCCCTCTAGGTCCTGAGACCTGCCTGCAGCACCATGGCATGTATCCCTTCCCTCTGAAAATCTCGAATGTACCCAGCTGTCTGTCCCCAAGAGCAAGAGCGTTCGTCCACCAGCATTTCTGCAATCCCTGCCAGGGGGTATCTTTATTGAGGCTGTTGGATGCCGTGCGTTGGTGTATGAGCTGCCAAGACTCCTGGGGAAATCATCTACATCTGCGAGCCCACGGTCGATTCTGATACTTAAATTTGATCCAGAAAGCAGAGATAGTGACGTTCCTCACCTTTTGAGATAATGATCTCAATCAACCCGCTCCTCTGAGCCGTGCTCGCGTCAACGTCCTCTTGAAGGAACAACCATCGCCGAATGAGGCGGAATCTGACCCGCCTGCGGAGTGCCACGGGGGCAATGCCCAGTTGTCGATGAAGCGTGATAGATAGCCCAAACGTAGACTGAGACGTTGCAATCGCGAGATCTGCAACTGCAACAATCAGCATTTTCCCCCCTGTGGTATGCCCGCGGCTCGAGAAGACGGTGGGAAGACAGCGGCTTTGCCGCGTGATCTCATTGAGAAGGGTTCTCTCTGCCATGGCGCTTTCAACACCACTCTGAGCAGCAGTTGCAAATGCGAAAACAATGATTTGTCCGGGATCTAGGACTGGGGTGAGCTCCTCGAGCAACGAGTCAGTCACTGAGCTCTAGGCTAGCTCGACGCGGACAAAACGAGAAGAATCCAGCGAGTCTACCTTGATCAACGTAACTCTAGAATGAGCTTCATAAGTGCGAACGCCCATTGCGCTGACAGTTTTGAGATAAAAGGCCGCATCCTATCAGCTCTCGTGATGTGATGGCTCGTATTCGAATCTTCAGTGTGTCATCTCAAAAGCGCTGACGAGTAGTAGGGCGTCCTCTATTGGTGTTTGCTACCGATCACGCAGGCTGGCGAGCACATCGGAGGCGTATACGGGCGCAGCAATCGCGTCCAGTCCATACATACTAGCGGCACAACCAGATCCATACGCCATGCATAGGACGCGTTGATTAGTCAGGCCAGAGCCAATAGTGAGAGCCAACGACAGCAGACTCGCGTAGACCGGGCATGTGTAGGTGGTAGCGTTTTGGGCACTTATCGCAATACCAGCCTTAGCATGCTCTTGGAACGAGTTCTCGTGTTGAGCCTTGGTGCGTTTACCGCACATCACTTCGCACATGAGTCGCAGGTTCCTCTTTGAATGATAAGGAGCGTTGTTGTGGTACACGACTAGGTTGAATGTTGTCAATAAATCGCGCCGACCTACTGTTTCACTAAATCAGCCCTAGCACCACATCATGGCCTCTTCGTATTGACCAGTTGCGATGTTCACGTCCGCGATTGCGTCGTTCGTGTGCCATCCGACAGGCCGATAGAAGTCCCAAGAATGCTTGATGAAGGTCGTGCGCTCTCGCCGAAGTAGCAATGATGATTGCGACGCTACCAACAGGGATATTGATGAAGCCCCAATACCAGAGATATGAGCAGGATCTGGGTGGACCGCCGGGTCGGAACAGACCACTACACCGTAGGTGTCGTTGCATGCTTTGCTCTGAAACCAGCTAGTGGTACTGAATAATGCATTCGTCCCACCGTAACACGCATTGAAAGTGTCGAGCCCTTCAACACTGTGGTGGCCATCAGCTTCGAATAATGACATCAAGAAAGACTTGGTTGACTTGCCGCGGTCCACTGCGCTTTCTGTGCCAACCTCAAGGCGCCCAACTTCAATAAAGGCCAGCTCACACGATCAAAGTAGTCTACTTAAACTTGACAACGCTAGCGAGACAGTGTCTTCATCATCGCTGACGAAAGTGATGTTCTCCTGCCCGCGCCCGATCGTGTATCTGCCGGGACTGACATGGAATGCCTCCGCACTGGAAGCGTCCAAGGCTAGATTTGGAGCATAGTAAGACAGAGCGGCAATAGCAACAGCCTCGCGCTCGATGATCGCGCTCGCAGCTACGATTGAAGCCAAAGAAGCATTGCATCGTTGCATGTGAATCCCGCTTGCCACCGCCGCGTTATCCCAGGACGCCGCGTCTGCCACGAGGAACCGCACGGCGTGATCTGAGACCATCGTGCGATATAGGTGCTTCATCTGCGTGTCAGCGCTCTGGTGCGAATACACGTCGATAGCGAGCATTTCTAGGTTGCTCATCACACCTTCATCGAGGGCCGTTGCCGACAATAATAGGGAAAATGCAGTGGACTGTGCCTACGACCCTCAAGACGTTGAAAGTTGTAGCACTGCCTTGCCAAAATTATCAAACAACAGCATACCCTACGCTTGACCGCAAATGATATGAGTCTAGGAGACTGCTGGTCGGGAAATATTCTTCGAAATCTCAGCGCACGCCCGATCCTGTAGCACCACACCGCACGAAAGTACTCGAGGCTGTCAGGACTGCGTAAGAGCAGCCCAAGTGTACACCGCGGAGTCGAAGCGACAAACAAGCACGCTGTTGTGAGCATGATTCATGATTCAGTGATTAAAGCGAACATCACCAAGAGATGCACGCAGACCACTGCTTGCCAGCGACAAAAGGGACGTATATGCGCATATGTTGACCCGCGACCAGCGAGCCGTTATTGTGCTTCGGGCAATCTCAGAGGCCTGTTGTGTACACGATCAACTTGCTCGCCGCTCGCCAGAGACGGTTGGTCACTGAGCACGATAGAGGGATAGTGACTTGGCTGTGCCCAGGGATCCTTATCGCATTACGGCCACAAACGCCCCGTGCGCGATGGTCCCGCTGAAACCAAACGAGCTCACACGACCTACCGGTGATTATTGAAGGCCTTCGATTAACAACTCAGTCGGCATCTTAAAGGATGTCGACACGATCGAAGATAGGTGGGTGTTCATCCTAAAACCTTCAAGGTTGGGTGTTTCGCTTCGAAGGGGCGTCAGACAGCCTAAGCTGCGCGCTCATAGCGACCAAGCATATACTCAGGGGCACAAACACAAGAGTAGCCAACCCCGCGGCACCTGCCGATGGCTCCAAGTGACCCATATTCGACTTCGAAGATGCGCATTGTACCGATTGCGAGTTCACACACAAGGCTCCCATAGCCGCCCCAACCTAAGACAGATGGTCCAAGCACGCAACTGTAGCAGAGACTACTTCGATCGGGTCCCCGAGCGCCGTGCCCGTGCCGTGCGCCTCAAGTGCCTGCTGCGTTGTGTCGCAGTTGCGCACAGTCTAAATTAGTCGCCTTTGCGACAACCCGCTAGGCGCGGTCAAGCTCGCGCTCGGGCCGTCCTACTGCACCGCCGTGCCAAGGACAGCAACTTTGGCATAGACTCCAAAGGCCAGTAACAAAGCTCCGCAACCTTCGCCACGGCAGTATCCGTCCCCTCGGCGATCGAACGTGTGGCAGCGTCCAAGAACGGAGAGCATGCCTGCCGCCGAGAAAGCCTTCGACACTGCCTGCGTCAGCATACCGACGCCCGTTGCCGCTGCTTTGGGACATTCCATCCGCTTTAGAGCTGACGCCGCCAAATGCAAGGCGACGAGCGACGACGAGCACGCCGTGTCCAGCGTCAAGCAGGGACCTGTAAGCCCAAGCGTAAAAGACACCCGGCCAGACGCTACGGAGAGAGCGTCGGAGGTCCCCGAGTATACCGAAGGTGCTTGCGTATCAGCAGCGCCCTTGTCAGCACTTGCGCCTGAGAAAGCGCCACCAACGCCAAGGAAGAAGCCAACTGGCATATTCATTAGTGATGCGCGGTAGCTCGACGCACAAAGCGTGGAAGTGCTTTTTTCGAGAACCACCATCATCTGGGGATCCATGCCTTGCGATTCCATTCTCGAGATTCCGAACGCAGTCGCATCTGACATAAAAATGGCAAAAGACCCGTACGCTGCTGATACATAAGAGGCGTCGCTCTACCAGCGCGAGACAGGCACACCAGAGTTAGTTACCGAACCAAGGGTTACGAGGTGCTCTAGTCCAGTCTTTGTCGCAGTTAGGCCTGACAAAATGAAAGAGAACGAGCCCGACAATGACACTGCAACACTCTGTGCCTCTTGGGGTGCTGCTTCAGCCTGATGCCGCATCATGGTCTGGGAGGCATCAGTGACGAGTTACACTCCCTCTCCATCGACTGCCTCTAAAATCAGCCCAGCTACTGACTCGATTGTCGGATGGTCAAAGAGAAGTGTCTAGGGCAATTCAACCGTGAATCATTCCGCCAGAGAATTCGCGAACTCCGTCGCCGCTACTGAGTCCAGTCCGGCAGCCATCAGTGGCAAGTTCGTGGCAATAGCTGTGCCGAACACATCGATAAGCGATGCGCAGATGGTTGTAGCCACGGAAGAAGAGCCCCGGGAGACTGTTCACGATTCCGGCGCGACCTCTCGACGTATCACGCTTCAGGAGTTTACCTCTCCTGCACTCGAATCTCCGCTTTCGATCGGGAAGGAACCGGCGATGGAACGTAGCAACGGGTGGTCGAACAACAGCGTCGACGGCAGTTCAGTGCGGAGACGCTCGTTGAATCGCGTCAAGTACTATGTGGACTCGATGGAGTCGAGCCCGGCCGATATGTGCGGTGCGTTGGGAAAGACGCTGGTGTCACTGAGCTGGGCCATAGTGCCAATAAGCTCGTCGAGGACGCAACGACCTGTTTAGTGAGAGTATTGCTGCACGATCCTCGGTTTTTGTGCTCGATCAACAGCTGGCGTCACGGAGACCGCACGTGTCGGTCGATTCAGTGGATCCAGAGAGGTATTCGCCAATATGATCCAGCCTCAATGCAAAGGGGTTCTTTCACGTTCAATCCGGAGAGATGCGGAAGTCTCGGATCTGATTAGTCAGACTGCAGATTGTGGCGCGGCTCTCTGGCCAGAGCACGTTCTGGCTGTGACTCAAGGTCTTTTTGAGACCATACGAGAGATTGATCAGCCTCGGAGGCGCGTATAAATCACTCGACTCCCAACAAGCCCGAGTGCTGTTTCGAGACGCTGAACAGATAGAGATTGTGCGCATGGGGACAAAGTGACCTGGGCTGCGATGGCTCTGCACGGAACTGAAAACCGCGTGATAAGAATACGAACCTTGTCTGTATTCTTCAGCAAATTTGTAACCAAAATTTCATGTGATTTATTTCCACTGCGTGATAGTCTCAAATGTGCAGAGGCTCCATTGCCAGGGACGCTAAGTCTAGAGTTTCACGCGCTCCATTAAGACTTGCACCTTACACCCCGACATGAACAACTAGTCACCCACCGCCGAGCTGAGTAGTATACCTCTATTGGTTCAGTTTAAGTTCCTTCGTTGTGGTGCCCTTCAGCATGACTCGAGTCTAGACACGCCCCCCCATTCTTTGTTGTGCTATATGCAACATATGATCCATTATCTCATCTTGTGTATCTTTAGATGGCTTCCCATGAACCAAGCTATGGTAAAATACAGAGCCGTGAGACTCGCGCGCCAGTCAGCGCTTTTCGGGATTCGAGTTCTGTCAAGGCCAATTCCATATAGCCTTCGAGAGACGTGACATCAGTGCAGGTCGGTCATCGTGCACCTCAAAAACTGTCCGCTACTCGAAATGACGAATTTGCAAAATTGCAATTGATCCTGCAATTGCAATTGATGCTTCAAGTGAGAAGCCACGGTGCAGGACAGCCAGTCGTTCGTGCATTCTGGTCATCGGTTGCTCCCGGAAAGTTTCCCACGCAGTGATTGAAAAACGTCAGTTGCCCTTCTGTTGTCGCGCTATCAATCGCAAACACTCCAGAAATTTGGCTCGTACATCTCAAGATGCATCAGCCCAGACCAGGCTCTAGTAGTATGCATGGCCGTAGAAATTACACTCCGACGAGTGCCCTTATCGACTCCAGAGATCCCAGGGCCAACTCGATGTAGCCGACACCCGGAAGTAAGATAGTGTATCCAATTGTATGATCCGCAAGAGTGGCCTGGATCGAGGGAGAAAGAAAATCTTTCGTGACAGATGAGTCCAGGCTTTGGGCGGGGGCAGAGTACTATTGTGCAGCCCATCGACTCGCTGGGAGCTTGCTACAGAAAGGATGCGACTAAGCACGATAGAGAGAAGCCTAACTTGACTAATCTAGGACCAACTTCGAGGACGCCGAAGTCGCAAAGGCCCCATGTGCGATGGTCCCGCTGAACCCGAACGAGCTCAGCCGACCCACGGGTAGTTGTTGACTTTTACCTTATGCCAGCAGATCAGTAGGCATTTTAAATCATGACGACATCATCGAAGACAGGTGCGTGTTCAACCTATGTTCAGAGCCTCACGAGAAGGTGCACCATGCGGACAAACTGGTTCAGTTGAGCGTTCTTGGCAACTAACGACGTAGCAAGCGGCACTAGAAGAAGAGACACGAGACCCGCGGCGGCTGCAGATGCCTCCAAATGACCCATGTTCGATTTCAACGAGGTGCATTGTACCGCGTGCGAGTTCAGGCATAGCCCCCCGATAGCAGCACCCACCTGCCAAACTCGCTTGGGAAGAAAAAATCTTTCTAGAATGCGCGCGCCTCGATAGGATCTCCGAGCGCCGTGCCTGTGCCGTGCGCCTCGAGTGCCGATGACTAGGCGCGACCAGCTTGCACTCGTTCGATCAGTCGTTTTTGGGATGACCCGCTGGGTGCCGTCAAGCTAGCGCTGGGACCGTCTTGTTGCACACTCGAGCTGCGAACTGAAGTAAACGAATCCTCTGTAGTCACGAGAAAGGCTCCGAATCCCTCCCCTCGGCAAAACCCATCTGCGCGAACATCAAATGTGTGAGAGCGACCGCGCGGGGATATCATCCCTCCGAGGGCAAAGGCAATCGACACCTTAGAAAGAAGAAGCAAGCTCCCCGCTACTGCAGCGTGCGACATGACATCGTCGATTAAAAACAACCCCGCTACGTGTAACGAAACTAGAGATGCCGAGCACGCTGTGTCGATGGGTAAATTTGGACCCGTGAGACCTAACACGTACGACAGTCGCCCAGAAGCGACTGCGAGGGAGGAGGAGGTGCCGGAGTACACCGAGCTTTGCCTTGGCCTCCCAGGTTCAAACTAATCGCTCGGCAATGCGGCGTTTGCACCCAGGAAAAATCCAATGTACTAGCCTGATAGTTGCGCAGAACAGTTTACTCTCCGCTCGGCACGGATGGCCGCAGAGCTCACCTCTAAAATGAGCATCATCTGCGGGTTCATCTCGCACGACTCGATTCTAGAGATACTTACGGCTCCGGGATCCACGGCCACCAACGCATCGATGTAGGCACCGTACTTGACGGAATTGTAAGCACTGAAACTAGCGAGGTGATGCCAGCGAACGATAGGCAGGATCGTCTTCCTATCAGAACCTCAAATCACGAGTCTCCTAAGGCCAGCACGAGAGCGACATGGAAACCGCGTCGCATATTCTCCTGATACGAAGATAGAATCCCTAGCCGGTTTCAACATCGGATGTTCACCGGCTGCACGTGCACGTAGATCCACAATCTGTCCAGGGTCGTCGGGTATCGCCTCCATTTCTGCCACCCCCGACTCTACTGCGAATGAGACAAGAGAACTTAGGGTGGGATAGTCAAACAAGAGAGTTGACGGCACGGCTGTGTGGAAACGCTCACCAATCGTACGAGCCAACTCCGTCGCGCTCAAAGAATCTAGTCCCACTGACATTAAGGGGACGTCGAGGGACACGGCGGTTCCGTGAAGCTCAAGAGTAATGCTCTAAAGCAAAAAAATGGCGTTCGTGGACGTCCCCGAGCAAGGCGATTCATCTCGAACAGGTGCTCACGGCGCTTGCACACGGCGATCCTCCTCGCCACATGCCAATTCACAAGTGGGCTGAAGAGCCCCGGCAAGAGCATTTACTGTCGGATAGTCAAACAATAGGGTCGATGGGTAACTAGTGCCAAACTGGACGCTCAAACTGCTGTGAAATTCCGTCGCCGTCAGCGAATCCAGACCAGATGCCATCAAAGGCGCATTTGCATCAACAACCCGAGTTCCAACAACCCGAGAAACCATCCTCAACAAATCGAGAACTTGAATCTAAAGATGCTCGGTATAGGAAGAGGAAACGTTCGTTTGCGTAAGCAAGGGGATGCTGAGATCGGTCGCAGTTCGCGCTGCGGGTTGAATTCTTCTTCTTATGCAAGTGGCTCACATTTGCGTGAAGCTGCTTCCTCAGCGCTCTTGCATGAATTTTTCGACACATGAACAACCATCGACCCAAAAGCAAAATGCCGTCGACTCCAAGTCTACTCTGAATCAAACATTATCATCACAAGACATCTTTCTGTTGCTCTCAACAAGATCTCGCGGCGGTTGTAACTCCGAGGCTTGTTGTGCACGAAATCATCGCATAGTTCCCCAACGAGGTATCAATCACTAGCAACGTACGCAAGCCCCGAATTTTGTCAGCCCAACCTAGAGACTTAATGCACGCACTGTGGTATCCGAGCAGGCGGGACGAGAAGTGATAAAGGACAAACAGAGTGGCGGCTATAAAGACATGCACGAAATCATACAACACCAGAATATCTGGACAGGAGAACTATCATACAAAATATACTGTTATCTCTTGTGGTGTGTGTGGTGAGCCCCATGCATAGCACAGGCCGAGCAGTCATCATATCCCAACGCCACGCTTATGCAGCGTTCCAGCACGATCTCTCCTGTAGAATGTCACCATCCCTTCTTTTTTACGGAATTGGGATAAAAGGTGACAAAACACAGTCGAACGTTTCTCACGCTATATCACTCAACAATTTCTTCTACACGCGAGTAGTTTTGATGAATGGGAATGCACGACGAGAATCGCGAGACATTCCTCGATCTCTACCCATCTGGGTGACTATCACCGAGAAGCAAGCAAGAGGCTTACCAAGGTGCTGCTGGAACGTGCACCGCCGACCGTTTGTTGATTAGCGGCGTGAATGTGCGCGAAGAAGCAAGCGACTATGGTCGTCTCACTGCTTCTCGTCGTGACGATATCGAGTTAGTACCGCCGACGTGAGTCACGAAATCTTTACGAGAGTAAGATCAACTAGCAATCTGGTAAGAGCCTGCACCAAATAGCGTGTATTGCACGACGTGACCCTCGAGTTCCGTTGTACTTCACGAGAGCACACAAGGCCGAGCGATCACAACATTCTAGAGACGAGATTATCCTTGTCTGGCGCGTGTACACGCCAAGGCTATTTCCTGGAAGCCCACACCTGGAAGTAGAACGCTCCCGAGGACTGTGTGATCAACGAACGCCTAAGATGCGGTTGTTGGTGTGCCCTGCATGACACTTTGCTTTTCACCAAGAATTTCTTGCGCAACCTCTGTCAAACATAAGCGAAGCGTCTCCTGGATACAACTGGAGACCTCTTGACGACGAAAGATTGAAGAAGGCCTGGCATCTGGGTGGAAGAACTCCAATTGCACAGCAAAGGCGGGCTCTGTCATGAAAAAGTAGTCGCCATAGCCAAGCAATGCGTGAGCTATCGTGCCACTCGCGCCAAACGAGCTTAAACGACACTGCACTGGGGCTGGCGTGGCACCCTTAATCACGAAAATGTCCTGTGCCGGAATGTGTAACACGGAAGCTCCAAGCAGGGAAATTAGGTGCGGATTCAAAATGCGTAGTTGGGCGTTTGATGGCGTGTTATTAGATTCTAAAGCCGACGAAAATGCGCATAATAAGCCCCCTCCGGAGGCAGTCGCTTCCAGATGGCCCATGTTGGACTTGAATGACGAACAAGACACTTCGTGTGCTTGAGAGGAACAGAGGGCAGAAGCTAATGCCCCAATCTCGATTGGATCGCCAAGCAAGGTGCCAGTTCCATGACATTCTACTGGGTATGCTGATTCACCAACAATCTGACGCGGTTGCACGAGCATAATTAATCTTCGTTGAGCAGAGCCGTTAGGAGCAGAGAGGCTAGCACTCGGACCATCACTCTGCACAGCGGTAGCGGCCACGGAAAACTCTGGGGACTCGCACGCTCGTTGTGACTCAGCGAGCAAAATACAAGCGGCTCCGTCAGCTCAGGCGTAACCGTCCCCTTGACGATCGAAACTGTGGCAGCGCCCTAGTGCTGAGAGCATCCCAAGGCTGGCAAATCCAGAACTCCAGGCAGGCCCTAGAAGTCCGACCCCTTGCGCAAAGGCCTGCGGAGATGTGCTCAGCATAATCTCCGCCCGAGCGAGGTGAATGGCTACAAGCTGCGTCGAGCAGGCTGTATCCACCGTGGTGCAGGCTCCAGTCAGTCCGAGTGTGTAGGAGATTAGCCCGGACGATACATTTGCATGAGTGGGCGAGTATCAGCTATTTGAGGTAACGACCCCTTCGACTGGCTGCGTCAATACGGCGACGTATACGGCGGTATCTGTAGAACCCACGAGACACTGCGCTGCGCCTTCGAGTAACAGTATATTCTACGGATCTTGCGTTGAAGCAAAGCTCCGCGACATTTAAAATGCCCCGCCGCCGTCGGCTAGCACCGGCAGCAAGAATGCACCGTATGTTGCTCCAGGTGGATGTTGAGACTGGTGAGAGTCCCACCGCAAGATGGGCACCCGAGATGGAGTACTGAGTCAATTAAGCAGAAACTCCCGCATTCCACTGAACGCACGAAGTTTTGGTAACTAAAAAGCGGCCCTTGTTACTACTATTACTTGTAGTGCTCGTGATCCACATGCGAAGTGGGTGGCTCTAGAGGCAGGCACGCTCCGCAACTAATTTGAAATGGCGTATAGAGTTGGATAGTCGAATATTAGAGTAGAATTAAGTTCCGTGCTGAAGGCTGTTGAAAGTCACTAGGCAAACAAACTGGCAGCCAGTGAATCTAGCCCTGCTTCCATCAGAGGAGAGTCCCTGCAAATGAGAGTTCCGACAAATTCCAGGACCGCGTTTCAAAGAAGCGATGTAACGCCATCATCGTCGTACCCGCTCGTCGCCGAAACCAAGTGGTGAGAAACAGAACTGAGGGTCGGGTGGTCGAAGATAAGAGTCGTAGGTACATCCACGGCAAATTCGTCTGACACCGACGCAGAAAACTGTAGCGCAAGGAGGGAATCCAACCCCGAGTCGTAAAGTGGCTCTTACACTGAGAGCGTTGTTCCCAGAAGCGTAAAACCAAGCTATAGAAGAAAATCGATTATGTTGTCATAAGAGTACTGTGCGCGAGTCAATCAAAAGAAATCGGCTACAGCCCAAAGCGTTGGGTGGTCAAAGATCAGCGTAGACGGAATCTCTGAGCAGAAGTGCCCAGCGGCGGCTTGTACAAATTGAGTTCCTGCTAAAGAGTCCAGCCCAGCAGACATGAGGGGTTCCTCCTTCGAGATCGTGGTGCCAAGAAGCTGAAACGCAAGTGTTGTGAGACCTTCGATGACGTCATCCACACCTCCCGGCCCTGCGACGCTCTCGATGGAGCTCGGTGGCTGCGATGCCTATACTAACCATCGGCTCAGTCTTGTCACTATATGTTCTTCGCCGAGGCTTGTAACATTCCCAATAGGAAGGTCTTTATCGAGCCACTCGCCGGCCATTTTCTCGCAAAGTCTCGTAAACGGGTACGCAGGCTTGACGTGACCAACCAGATTCACTCGCGCCTCGCAAAGAGTCGCCAGCTCTCACCACTCACGCGCATTTTCCAATACAAATTGATCTGGCAAAAATCAACGATGGTAGTTCAAACTGCGCTGAATCACGCGTTTCTTCGCTACAGTGGCAAGCGCGACGTTAGCTTCAAGCGTGCGCGCCAGTTCGACAGACATGCGAGAGAGGGGCGCATCAATGAGGTCGAAATGCACTCCCTAGCCCACCTACCCACAACACATAAACATGAGTACTTGAAAAGCAACAGACTCCAAGTAACTTGAACCAAATGGCGTTTGAAATCCCCCAGCGTCGTCTAGAATTTGTTCGGCTTAATAAATCAAGTTACTTCGCACTAAGTTGTTAGAGTAGATCGTGTTACTTCCAAGCAATCACCTCACGAGTTCGTTTTTCCAGTATCCGGTGCACTTGACTATTATGTCGCATCAAATCACGACTCCGCAGTCCGTCGTAGCGTGCTTTTGACGCAGGGTAGAAATCTCGCCGAGGACGGTCGTAAGAAGACCATAGTGATGGGCGACGAACCAAATGTCCGACACTGATATCGTGTGCCCGACTGGCGAAATCCGCCCTCAACGCCAGCACTCTGGCTTTTCCCCTACGTGAAGCTTGAAGGCAGCGCCCCAGGCTGAGAAGATTACTTGCGAACCCGACTTTGCGTGACCATATCCTTCATCGTACGGACGGGCAAAGTTGAGATAGTCCACGATCAAAGGACTCACAGTACCGCGCCGTCGCTAAAGGACCGAGACTCGTTCTGCACCGCGCTCGACAGTGGCACGCGCATTTTCCGTTGCAAACGCGCCCGCACCGACGATGAGGATCACGAACCAAGGGAAGTGAACACGTGAAGAATCGCCGCCGACCCCGTAGTATACATGTCCATGATAGTCATTTTCGCCTGGAAATGAGAGTTTCCGCGTAGCTCCTAAGCGACGGTTCACACCGGCCAGGACTGTCGTTGCTTCAATGGTTGCGGGTTTGTGACGAGTCGTGTAGAAAATTGCGTGTGATGTCTTCCGGCATGAAAAAATCCCGATCGCGGTCGTCTGAAGCTTGATCCGTTATGCAAGATATGCTGAGGTCAGGAGCGACAGATCATTCATGATCTAGAAAGTCGGAGTGTGGTCAAAATTGAGGACGCCTCCGCGCTCCACTATGCGATAGGCCGCTTCTGACGTGTTCACTCTCGACGATATGTTGGCTTGTGCGTGCCACACCCCCCCACATGCATTCGCCTTTTCAAGAAGGACGCACTGGTGCCCTTCGGAGACGATCCTACGCGCCACGACGAGTCCCGAAACACCGGTTCCCACGATTGCGAACACAGATTTTGATGGGAGCTCTTTGAGATTTCCACTTTACCCGAAAGATTTCCAAAAGAAATTCTGGATCGCATCGCCCAGTTGCTCGACTGTACTGTAGACCGGAATCTCTCTCATGACGCAAGAACTTTTGCAAACGCATGCATACAAGGCCAAGCTCGGTATCAGTCGCGTTGCCAGTATGTGAGTCAATAGGCGGGCGCCTGGCTCACCAAGACCGACCAGGATGTTCGTGCTGTCTGTGAACTAGCTGAGCTCGTCGCTAATCGCACCCGGGCTTCTCCGCGCGGGTAATTCTGCAACCAATATTTATGCGCTTAGGATAGTTTTCAGATGTGCTACCGTTGCGTCGGTGCCATTCCTGCCAACGATAAAAACCCTCGACGAGGGGTGACGAAAAGCATCAATCGGTTTGAAGAACGATGCTCCCGTCTCTCCCATTTGTACGGTCGCGACAACCATTCTAATGCCGTCCGGAGCGGGAGGCGCCCCAAAAACCAGAGGAAGTCCACCACCGGGGCCACCCACCCACTGAGGGGTATTTCCGTCCACTTGGCCTTTCGTATCTCCCACTACTTGGGTAAATCCCCTCAATATAAGAAGCCTAATACGCTGCGCGTTAAATTCCCCTAACGAGATAGTAAACTCCGGCACGGGGAGGCCGCCTAGTGGGGCTGCCCTGCCGTGCGAGGGTGAACTCGGTAATTGCCTTGAAAATGGCTGCCAAGGTGCCAGCTGCTTCTGCATCTGCTTCAAATGCTGCTGCTGCTCCGACTGCTGCTGCTGCCTGAGCTGCTGCCTTTGCTTCATCGTCTGCCGCTCTAGCTTCGACGGTCGATTGCTTCGCATCCGGATCATCCATCCTCCCCCCGACTACTGATGGCCGGGCAGGATTTCTTCACTTCAGAGCAGGTTCGATCATGGTCAGGAGCCAGCACCAGTCCCTGCTGGTTATAGGCACCCAAAGTATGGCGATTACATCATGCTATCGAGCATTAAAGTGCATGCAATCGACCCCGGTGCGGCCGACATTTTCTATGTCGCTAACGGCGCGGCTAATGTCGCAGTGTTTGAGACGCGGCATCCGCGTTGGGCGTGCCGACGAGGTGGCCCTTGCCTTGCGACGCCAATGACCATGGAGAAACTCATGCCATCGTTCGGCTTGTCTCGAGAGTTACTCGAAGCTGAGCTCGCACGGGCGAAGGTGGAAGGTCGTTTTTATGAAGATAGACGTCGCCGCCAGTCGCTCAAAAAGACGTACGGTATTCGATGTTTGCGCCAGCGGTGCAAGCAAGTATGGGTGCTCGATTCGGAGTCGATTGCACTGCGCGATTTTTCTTTCGATGATACCTTTGACGATTTTTTTGCGGAAATTTCGACAGACCATTCGGTCGGTTATCGCAACGTCGTGACGGATCACCGCGATGTGTTTTGCGGGATACCGGTCGCCCAGCGCGGGTTGGCATTGACAGCCGGGCCGCTTGATGCGCTTGGTCAGGGCGATGCGGTGCACATCGCACTGAATCATACGAGCTTTTGCACCCTTGACTACTGGATTATTTTTCCTGATGTCGTCGAGGCAATGTGTGCTCTTATAGAGTCGATGCATGACCGGCCCTTCTTGTCAGTATACGTAGAGCATGCTTCTGAATTCTCGGTTTACTACGGCATTTTTGCTGCCGTGTACCTCACGCCGACGCTTGTTGCCGGCCGCCAACCCGATCCTGGAGCGGGGGCGTTTCTCGCAAATTTTTCAAGTACGCTGGTTGATCCACTGCCCATGTCTGTGCATCAGAGCCTCTGCACACTCATTACCAATGCGTTGCTTTCACGTTTGGCATTGGTTGAATACGAGGCTCTCCGATCAAACAATTGCACGATACATGGCCAGTCTATTGTCACCGGGGAGGGCGTCGGGCCTGGGGCTCAACGTCACTACAAGACGTGTTCTTTGTCGGTCGCGCTAAGGCGTGAGCTTTTTCAGACGGCGTTTAGCTGGCTCCATGGCCACCGTTTCGATAGGGTGGCGGAATCGCAGCGGGCCGATGTCGCCGAGCTCTTTGCCACCACGCCGCAGATCACCTGGGCCACCTCCAACTGGCATGAGCAGTTCGTCGCATAGGCTTTGGTGAGGGATTCGAACCGGGCGCTAGCGAGATAGCTACAGGGCAGTACTTGTCCACGGCCCAAACGTAGCCGACGGCAGCCTTGGCGTCGGCAAGGCGCTCCGGCGACAAAACACGCACGCCGGCGCGGCGCTCAAGGGCCCGCAGGTCCGCCACGAGGCGCGTGAAAGCGGCGCGGTACACCTCGCGGTCGACAGCCGTGTAGGCGTCGACGACATCGAGGGTGGCGCGGGGCACGGCCCGGACGTCGTGCGGCGGGACGCCGTGAGCCTCGTGGTGCAACTCGAAGCCTTGGTCATCGGGCGGGACGATCGGGGAGTCGTCGCCGTCGACGCAGCTTTTCCCCGGGAGCGCGCCGTCGAGCAGGAATCCGAGAAGACAGAGGCTCTCGGTGAAGAGCTCGGTGACGCCAACGAAGCCCAGATCGAACCGGACCGCGCGGACCGCAGCCGTCGCGTCGGGGATGAGCGCGTCGCGATCGGCGGCGTGATGCGAGCACGTCGCGCGCCGGTCGCCGGCGTCGGCGCAGCACGAAGCGCAGCGCGAATCCGTCGCGAGCCTCGGATCGTCGCAGGTCAGCGCGCGGGCGAGCATGTTGTGCGGGTTGTAGCAGTGATAGTCGCCCTGCGACCAGGTCCCGGGGTCAAAATGGTCGAGCCACGCGCGAAAGCCCGCTGTCCAGTTCCCCAGTCGCGTCGGGACGGTCGGCGCGACCCTGCGGCCCCAGTCCGAGCAGCAGCACTACATGTACATGGACACGACGTGGGACCGCGGCGACCGGACCATCGTTGCCGCGAGGAGCGCCTCGATGCCGCGCCGGGGGCGAAGGAGGCCCTCGAGGTTCGGCGCGAGGCGCGCGGACGACCACGTTCGCCGCGTCTCGGCGAGAGCGTCGACGGACTGAAACGGGCGAAGACAGACCTCGCCGTGCCCAAACATCATCGAGGCTCGACGAGCAGCGTCTTGGAGCCACCGCGTCGCGGACGTGCCCGCCGTTTTCGGAATGTGCGCGAAAAACAGGGCCGACGCGCGTTTTGGCGCCGCCGCATGAAGGTGTCGACCGGCCCCGGCCGATTCGCGATGGCTCGATTCGCGTCGGCCGAGTACATTTTCGAAAAGTTGGGCGCTGCCGTCATCATCAGCGTTTTTAAAAATCGATTAGCCATTTGAGTGTTGGACTCGCGTGGACATCTCACACCAAGGTTCCGGAACTCAAATACATGTAGAAGTCCGCTTATCCATCTGGGGGGGTTCGTGGGGTACCTCGGTAGAAAGTTAGGATAGTTTACTAACGTCGCTATGACGTCAGTCAGGCTACTATCCAGCAGGTGCACTGTCCGGCGACTGTGCAACCTCGCTGAGCCTGGTGTTACCTGGCACGTCGCTGTGACGCTAACCAGACAGACACCACAGACACAGAAGAGCGCGGTTTGACCACTGTAGCCACATACAAAAGGTCAAGTAAAATCACAGGATTTAGGAGGGTAGGTTAATGTTTCCCTTAACGGATTCTCGGCTGAACCTAACCACGCGAGCGTGGGCACGGCTTAAGGTGCACTGCAACATCAAGATGCAGTTCACTGAAGATGAAGAATGTTTTCGGTCTATGCGGGAGGCACCAAGAAAAAGCTAAACCCATAGAGCGTCCTGGCAACAGCCAGTTTGGACTTTGCTGAGCTGGCAGTCTCATATCCTCATGAGGCTGAGTTCAATCTCAAAGTCCCCACTCTAATTATCCCCCCCGTGTTTATCCCCGCACGGGGAATAAACTAAGGGGGGATAACTAGGGCATACCTGAGGGCAGCTGCGAGGGTTACGCATTAGCGCCAGGATCTCAGTACTTTTTGAACTTTTTAAAATATTTGAGAAAGCTAATATGGAAATAACAGATGTAGAGAAAAGATTCAATGTCAAGATTAAGAGAGTTTGAGAGGTAGGTTGGTAGGATGGCGAAACCTAAACTTTCTGAACGTTGAACATATCTGAAAAAAAATGTCGTTAAAAAAAAAGTTTAGGTTTGCTCATCCTACCATCCTACCTTCATAAAAAGGTTCTGCTGAACAGCAACTGAATCGTCATCGTCGTCGTCGTCTGGCGCTTCTGGCACGTCTTCCAGCCCTTTGATGACGTCGGGCGTCCAGAGCATCTTCAGCGACAACTCCGAGCCCTTGCTCTTGACGAGCGCCTGCTGCGACAAGTGCCCGAGCAAGACCGACGACTTCATCAAGCTCAGCGACAGCTTCTGCGCGGGCGCAAACTTTAACTTCTGCCGCGCGGCGTGCTCCACGAGCGAACAGAGCGCTTCAAGCGCTTCACGTGGTCCATAACATCGTAGCGCTTAATGAGTTAATTAATTAATTAATTAATTCTGTCGGCACGCTTTTCCTGTTTTAAGATGCGTAAATAGTTGCAAATTATCACGCTCTGTACTTTGGGATAGGAAAGGAAAAAGGAGGAGAGCCTCCTCAGTGGGGAAAGGCCAGTCAGGGCCCCTGTGGGCAGTGGGCTCAGCCTACGGAACGTTCGTCCAGATTCGGGTAGATTTGCGATAATCGAAACCGTATTGGCAGTAATCGACATCAACGTAGGGTCTATTAGATATAAACTCTTTCATTCGACCGTTTTTAGGATTCTCAATAAACCAGTATTTAGGCTTTAGGGTATTTATGATATTTTCGGTTTTTCGTAGAATTGGCAGACCGTTTGCCACCATATCCTCGTTGAGCATCTCGGCAGTCACTGGCACGTCTCCAAAGGCTTTTAACTTGCGTCCAATCCAAGAACGGCGGAGATGAGAGAATTTCTCACAAGGGGGCGAACTCCAAATAGCGTCGTAGTATCCCGCGGGAATGTGGGAATAGTCCCAATTCATAATATCGCAGTTGATGTCAGCGTTTCGCAGGTCCAAAGAGGTCACCTCCCAGCCCATTTTTTTTGCCACTTTCCCAACGCTGTGAGTGCCTGAAAATAGTTCGAGGAGTCGCATATAGTAGGTGGCGGAAATAAATGGTGTCTTATGACCTGAATATATGTTCGGGTTCGTTTGAAAGCAATTCGATTGATTCGTCAATCTGCTTGGTGACGTTGTTTAGGTCGGAGCACCATCTTGGTTCTCGTTTCTTCCTCTTGGGATTCACCTGGCTGAAGAGCGGTGCGTCGTCCTCCGCTTCTACTTTGGGGACTCGTCACGCAGCGCGATTAGGTTCTTGCTATTTAAATAATTATATAGTACTAGTAATAATAGCAGCAAGTATGCCTAATAAACTTGCCCTACCGCTCACGAAAAACGTTGAATTGACCGAAGAACATGGCATTGCAAACCAGATGCTACTTAGCCTAGTGTACTCGCCGCCGGCAACCAGTATTAATTGGCGGCTGCGCATTCATATCAAATGGCGTCAATACCTGCCCTCCTTTGGTTCCCATGGACGACGTACTGCTATGTCTTTCTCGCCCTGTGATTCACTTTGCCCTTTGCCCTGGCACTGCTAGTTAGAGAAGCCAATCCGAGGGCTGGGCCGCTGCTTCGCTGAGAAAGGATATCCCCTTCACTCTTGCATTTGAAGTAAGACAAATTATCGCCACAGCCACTATTATGACACAACTCGCCCGATATGTCGAAGGAAGTTATTCCCAGAGTCACCTGAAATTGTTCGGGGCTTATGTCCGCAATGTTGAGATAAGAAGAGATGGGCCCATTTCACTATGTAATATACGAGGAGAGTTTACACGTAGCGGCTTCATCAATTTCGCTGAGCGTGTGTGGCTGTACGGCCCATCTAAAGGGCTCTGGCAGATCTAACACTTGAACATTCAATCAACACACAAAAATGCAGTCGTCCTTTTGCTTACCAATATCATTCAGAACATGAGATAATATGGTTGCCCAATTCAGTGGATTAAAACTGCCTCCCAAGGCATAGCGTGAGGTGCAGTTGTGGTATACGAGTGCCATTTTCTACAACCAGCAAGCCTGCAGTGATTTTCAATAAGTTCCATTGGCCATAGCTGCCATGTTCTTTTCGAATATCTACCACAGGTTTAAGACTTCCATCTTGAGATCGGTCTGTGGATGCGTCTAAAGGTAATAGGATGAAGGCAGCCACCAACCTAGCACCGAGAGATCTGCATCTTGCCCGAGCCCGCTCATGAGTTACGCTGCTGGATTCTCAATAATGTGTATTCCTCCGTAGCAGCATGGTAGCTGCTTTGTTAAGACCTCAAGTGATCTCAAGAGCATCGCCTGCTTGTAATTAAGACCAGTGATGGGATGCTTCTGCATTTGGAAGCTGATGCCAAAATACTCACGTGGTGTGAAGTTCGTATTGTTGTATAATTACTCTTCAGAAGCTGCAGGAACAAAATCAGCCTCGTGCATCCACTAAAGGAGTTTTGCATTCAGAAGTCCAAAGGTGAGATGTGCCGGATTGGGTGTGGGCTCCAGTAACGCTTCGCCCCAGAGACGTAAAAATTGACCAATACTCGGTGCATAAAAAACCACATGGTTCAGCTCTAGCTGCATGATCCAGCCGCAAATATGGTCAAATCGCACGGATACACCAAAAACCGGCAAAGATAGAACCATGTTGGCGAGGAGTAGAATGTAATCCAACCACGCGAGCGCCCAAATTTCACATTGAAATCTCAGACCAGAACGTCTCATTCCTAATCAAAGGCGCTCACGGATTGAAGCCTGGGATGAAGGCCTCGCTGGTGCGGATTAAACTCAAAAGACGACACTACTCTTACGTCAAATTCTGAGCAACAGAAACCCAGATTTCAAGAAGAACCTAGCTGCAATGATAGGAAACTTTTGTGCAACTCTCTCGAGGCTAGCAACAAGGGCCGGTAGGGTTTCATTCACAATGATGGGCGGAACTGGAGGGGATATTGTGCTCATGATCATATTTGGGATGCTAAGTGGATAGAAGCTAGTACGTGGGAAGTAAACAGGCACGGTCGAAATCCGATTTGAACTGTACTGAAGTGTGTAGACCAAGTACTTGTGTACATATGTGACGTGATGAAAGAAAAAAAACAATACACGCTCGAGCCTTGTAATGCGCCACACTCCAATCTGAAGTAAAGAAGCAGCATCAAGAGCATTTTTTAAAACGGTGTACCTGAGGATTTGGCCTCCTCGGTGGCAATTCTCATGTGTCACAATTTCAGATGAGAATACCGTTTTCTTCATCGCCGCCTAACACCAGCCAGCAAGTTGCATGATAGTTGGATGTGCCTTGAGATGTTCGGGTGTAAACGATGCATCAAATTCGTGGCGTACAAGAGAGATAAGCTGAAAGACCCCAACCGAAGTCAGACCATGCATAAAAAAGTTAGATTCATCAGAAGGCAATTGCATGCCAACTTTGCAACACAAGCTCCTTATCTTGACCAAATCTGACTCTGGAGGGTGAGAGGCACTATGCATGCGTCTGTTCAGATCGGAATCGACAGATACTTCCAGGGGTGCTAAATTGCCTTGACAATTCATGTGCGTTTTTCTGTGAAATTCGAGGCGGCCACCAGAATATACTCACAATGAAGTGAATTGTGTTGCATTTTTCCATTGATACCAGTCACATATTGAAGAGTCTCCGAGGAAAATGACACAACCCTTAGATGCAAGATCAACGGAAAGCAATGCCTGAGGCCAGTCGCATACACCACTATAGACATTTTCTACAACCGCAGATTTCAATCGGCTACTCACGTCTTGACCTGTCTCGGGAGCTATGATACAACATCTGGAATTTTTACCTTGGAAGAGGGAGTTTTGCAATCATTAATTTTCAGGATTTCTTTCAGCTTCAGAAAGAAACGGAGATAGAAGTTCGCGGG